GGGTACATGACGCGCCTTGAAACAAAGGCTGAATGATCATGGCGGGGGTGTATCACCTTCACTTAAAACTGTAATGAGGGATCCTCCTCTCACACATTGCACAATTTGAACACAGACATAAGGTTCTCTGATCACTGTACCTCTCGTGGGTATATGTCACGTGAGGATACGAGGTGTATTAAATTCATACCGACGCATACACGATATTTCCTTTCAAGTACAGTTTCTGGATCACTGTCAACACCTCACATAGTTCTGATACATTTATCCTTTTTCCAGATCATTGTTCTCATGTATTTTCATATGATATCTGTTGGAGTTATGTTCACTACACACTCACAGACGTAAATAGTAAGACCTTCAAACCCTGATCCACACTTAGTCTTACAGTACACTAGTCCTTAATGCTATGAATACATACACTTAATATGATATAACTATACCTGGGTACAATACAACACATGGTCTAGGAACCTTGAGTAGGTGAGTTGTCCTTTATCCATGTTTCCCGTTTTCTGAGGTTCTACAAGCGCGGTGCATTTGAATGTTATAATAATAATAATAATAATAATAATAATTAACGGTTTATTGAAAGAGCTTGGCAGCCAGAAGGCTGAAAATATACAGTTACATATTTGGGGAATGGGTTACGAATTACAAATAATATACAAGTAACATAAGTGACACAAATAAGACATATAATAACTAGATGGGGAAAAGCTCAAACTACAGTTCATTTCAACATAGTGACAGTGTAAGGAGCAGTGTTTACTGGGAGTGAATACACTGATTTATTACAAGTTATTGATAATTTTTACAATGGTTGGGACTGGGCTGTTCTTATAGCGATCAGTTCGTGCACGTATGGGCTGGATGCGGTTGTGGTGTCGAACAGCAATTCTCGGACAAGGGATCTCAGGTGGTAGTAGGAGCCGGTGTCGGGGATGGTGTAGAAGCTTCTTACCAAATTTGCAGATGAGGTCGTGGTGATGGTCAGTGAGAGTCGAAAGGGTCAGTGTGTTGAGCGCTTCTTGATATGTGGAGTAGGAAGGGGAGAGAATAATCTTGCATGCCCTCTTTTGCACTTTTTCTAGGTGTTTACGTTGTGTGGCATTTAGGGAGGAAGACCAGGTGGGGGAGGCATAGGTGAGCTTGGGAAGTATGAATGTTGTGTTAACACTGAGGAGCTCGTGTGCAGGAACTCCGAGGGACTTGAGTCGGCGGAGGAGGTGGAGACGGAAACTGGAGGATTTGACAACTTCACTGACGTGTGGTTTCCAATTTAGTTTGTTGTCTATGGTGACGCCGAGGAGCTTCGTGGAATCTACAACCTGGAGTGTGTTGGGACCTAAAGTAATGGAAGGGGGTGGGACAACGTCGGAGGAGAGGTTGATGTGCATAACCATGGTCTTGGTATAACCATGGGTATGGTTGATGGTGACATGGTTGTTGGTGGCCCAGTTTTGGAGACTGTTCAATAAATCCTGAAGGGCGGTATAGTCGGGAGCAGAATTGTTGACGCTGATCCCAATGGTGGAGTCGTCGACATATTTCCAGCGAGCAGGGGTTTCTCTTAGGGCATCATTGATGAGCATAAGGAAGCAGAGTGGTCCCATCTTGGTGCTTGGGGACACGCCACAGGTGAGTGACTGAAAGGTGGAGACAGCCCCTCAGAGCGTACAGCTTGGCGTCGGTCACTGAGGAAGTCTGTGGCCATGGTATAAGACTTCTCCGCCCGAGGTCAATAGCTTTGTTGATGATTATATTGTGGTCGACTAGGTCGAACGCTTTAGTGAAATCAATGAAGGCGACAGCTACAGACGTTTTCGTTTCTCGAGATGGCGGTATATGTAATCGAGAAAGCTGACAAGACAGTGAGTGGTGGAGGAAGTTTTCATGTTGCCAAATTGCTGAGGGTCTACGACTCCTGCAATATCAGCATAAGCCCAGTCGAACACAAAACTTTCACAGATTAGGCTGGGTATTGGGGTGATTGCAATAGGTCGTAGCTGATTTAAGGATTGTGGGCTGGTTGACTTGGGGACTGGTGACACATAAGAGGTCTTCCAGTCAGCTGGGCATCTGGCTTGACTGAGAGAAGCATTGATGATGGAGCAGAGGGGTTTAGCAAGCTCCGGGGAGAACTCCTTGAAGAGTTTCATTGGTAAGTCAATGGGGGTGGTAGAGCGTTTTAATTTTAGTTTGTCCAGGCGTTTTGCTACGTCAAATTCTTCTACTAAGTCAGTGGGAAGGGGGGCTGGTAGGTAAGCAGGGAGAGTGGTTGTGTCAAGCCGTGGGAGCGTCTGGCATATAGTAGCGAAATGGTTATTTGTTTGCTCAGCTGCGTCAACATTAGTGAGATGGCTAGGAAGGGGAGGGGGTGTGTCTTATTGTTTAGTCCACAGAGTTCTTTAAGCTTACCATACCATTGACTGATGTTGGTCTGCTTCAGGTGTTGTAATTTGGTTGGGTAGTGGGACTTCTTTGCAGTGCGTATTTCGCGGATGACTCGGTTGCGAAGTGACCTGTAGCGGATGTGGTCATTGAGATGAAAGGCTCTGTCTCTCTGTTGCATAAGTCTTTTGATCCGAGGTGTGATCCAGGGCAAGTCAGCTGGGTGAGATCTGACGGACTTCTCGGGGAAGAAGTGGTGGTGAGCTTCCGTGGTGGTGTTGGTATAATTTATCCATTTGGTTTCCACGTCATCCACGCTAAGTACTTCAGTCCAGGGATGGTGAACTATCCACTGCCCGAAGAGGCGCACTGCAGAGTCAGTAATCGGCCTGTAGGTCTTGATGTAGGGTCTCTGTGCTTGAGTGGGAGTGGCAGCTGGGGACCAGAGCACTGATAAGTGTGTGCTACACCCGATAGGAGGCATTGGTTGAGGTGGTTGGTACTGGTCCGCTAAGTCAGTTAAGAAAAGGTCAAGGGTATTTTGACCGTGTGTGGGGAAGGTCACAACTTGTGATAGTGATAGCTGGTCCTGGATATCAGTGGTGTCAATTTCATTTAAATCCCCACATAATACTAACTTGGCACATGGGTACCTAACTCTGAGGTGGTTTGAGGTGGTGATGAGGTGATTGATAAGAGTGTCTCTGGTGGGTGATCGAGGCGGATGGTATGCCACACAGATTATAATGGAAGCAGTGTTGCGTGGGTGGGCCCGTAGCACGATACATACCCATAATGCTTCCACATCTGCTGGGACTTGAACATCCAGGCGTGACGGGCGTAGGTCATCTTGACAGAAGAGGGCAACGCCCCCTCCGCGTCTTTGTAAACGAAGGTGCTGAAAGAGTTGATATCCCTCAATATGACACGTTTCAGGCACAATTTGCCAAGCCTCACATATGGCAACGACGCTCGCAGCGGTTGACCTGACTGTAGTTGCCAGCTCGTCGAACTTGTTAGCTAGGGAAGAGACGTTGGATAGCAGTAAAGACGGGAGATCATACCATATCCGTGGAACTTCAGTGTGGTGGTATGGTCTGTCAGGGGTGGGTTTCTCCGGTTTCCTAGTGGAGGTTACAGTTCTAATGGGCTTATGTGTATGACGGCCTTGTCTACGGCTCTGCGCGTGGAATATTTTCAGTGACTTGAGTCGCGCGATAACACTGCCATCAGGATAACCGTTCCCACGCTTTAGAAGGTACAGACTGCGTCGGGAGTAAGTGATTGGTGGCCATCTGTTGAGATCTGTTGTGGGCGGACGGAAGTGTTTGTCACTGGCGGCACTTTGAGGGACACTGACACTGGTAGACATCTGTTAATATTTGTCAGTCGTAAAGACCCTGGGTCCCCGTTCCTTGGTGCTTGGGGTTGCCGATACAGTTTTCACGATGTTATGTAGCGTAATATGAATTAAATGGGATTTTTAGGGATGACAATGATGTGCGCAGTACAACATAAAGTGACATTTTTTCCTTACATTTTAAACCTGTCCATCTTGATTTACTTAACACCAATATACCTCACTTCGACCTTTAATCTCCCAGAAAACATTCGTTTAAAATCCTTCTCTCAACCTAATACTTTCACATTCCAAGTTCCGTTATGTCTGCTCATTCTTTAAGCTTCCGGGTTTTTGTGTACAGTAATGTCCACAATCTTTTTTTTGCTCGGTCAGTACAGTACAGTTCTCGGTAACACACTGGCCACAAATTGGAGAGGCAAAGCGGTTAGACTTTTAGGTGGCGCTGAGGCAGCTCCTCTATTGTTCTAGTCTAGAGCAATAATTAAAATTCATGAATTGTGATACTCAATACCTTTCCTTGCTACAAGAGTATTATATATAAAAATTTTAAATAGTTAAGAGACGACAGAGGGTAGAGGTCACTCTCCTCTCACTCTGGTACAGCCCATCACACCTTCAGTACGTTGGGAAGCTCTTAATGAATCATTCGCTAATTACCATACAGGTAATTATAATTCAACAGTTATGGTCCAGTGACCGAAAAAAATTAGAAATAAAATATATGAAAGAAAATAATTATGAAAAATCAAATAAATACATACATAGTTCTCAGTATATAGTTAATCAAAAACTCATTCATCAGTATTTACTTATGTTGGGCTGGTGTCGTGTAACTGCCAGATCTACTTCTTTGTTACACAAATTACTTCATTTTGAGAGGCACACCTGAGCACACAGTGGGAGGTGAGGCTCACCTGTACACATCAGCCAAGCCTTCCTCCTACACACATGTGCATCTTACCACACACACACACACACACACACACACACACACACACACACACACACACACACACACACACACACACACACACACATACACACACACCTACATACATACACACACATACATACATACACATACACACACATGCACACACACACATACATACACATACACATACATACACATACACACACACACACACACATACACATACATAAACACACATGAGACAACGGCAATGCCTCAGCACTTAACATATTTGATAAAGTATCTGACACATTTTTTTATTCTCTACAGGCCATTAACGAGGAGCAAAGCCTGCTGAGCTGGGAGATGACCAAGTTCCCGCTGCTTCAATCCATGATAGCCCTCAAGGAACCCTACGACAAGCTGTGGCACACCACCTACGACTTCCACCAAAAGTATGAGCGGTGGTACAACGGTGAGTACAGGATATGAGGGGAGAGTGGCCACCCCCGCCTCCACCACCTCCTGGTTATTGATGGTTGTCACACGCCCCCGCATATAGAACAACCTTCGTCTTTTCTGTCCATCTTATTTTATGGTGAACCAAAGTATACTATCTCTCATAATTTACTTAATGTTGTTAGATTAGTGTTATTACTAACCTTGTTACGCGGTTAAGACCTTCGTTGTTGAAGCACAGTAATAACATTAGAACAACCTACTTTGCCTCCTCCACCACTTCATAATGCTTGTCAGCGATAATGTATGTTTCAGTATCATAAATGTTTCTTACCCCTTGTTCACCTCTTGCTCTTCATCTGTCCCTACTCATCTACCTCACCTATCCCTACTCCTCTACCTCACCTGTCCCTACTCCTCTACCTCACCTATCGCTACTCATCTACCTCACCTGTCCCTACTCCTCTACCTCACCTATCCCTACTCATCTACCTCACCTGTCCCTACTCCTCTACCTCACCTGTCCCTACTCCTCTACCTCACCTATCCCTACTCATCTACCTCACCTGTCTCTACTCATCTACCTCACCTGTCCCTACTCATCTACCTCACCTGTCCCTACTCATCTACCTCACCTATCCCTACTCATCTACCTCACCTATCCCTACTCATCTACCTCACCTGTCCCTACTCCTCTACCTCACCTATCCCTACTCATCTACCTCACCTGTCCCTACTCCTCTACCTCACCTGTCCCTACTCCTCTACCTCACCTATCCCTACTCATCTACCTCACCTGTCTCTACTCATCTACCTCACCTGTCCCTACTCATCTACCTCCACCTGTCCCTCATCTCTACCTCACCTATCCCTACTCATCTACCTCACCTATCCCTACTCATCTACCTCACCTGTCCCTACTCATCTACCTCACCTATCCCTACTCATCTACCTCACCTGTCCCTACTCCCTCCCCAATTCCACCTGTCCCCACCCTCCACTCCCCACCCATCCCCACTCATCCACCCCCAATCTGTCTCTACTCCATCTCACCCCACCATCCCCACTCCCCACCACCTGTCCCCACTCCCACTCCCCACCCATCCCTACCATCTACCCCACTCCATCCTCACTCATCTACCCCACCCGTCCCCACTCATCTACCCTCATCCTGTCCCCTACCCCATCCACCCCACCCATCCCCACCACTCCACCCCCACCTGTCCCCACCCCACCCCACCCGTCCCCACCCTCCACTCCCCCACCCAGTCCCCACCTCCACCTCCCCCCACCCATCCCCACCATCCACCCCACCCATCCCCACTCCATCTTACCCCCACCCATCGCCACCATCCACCCCACCTGTCCCCACCATCTAACTCTCACCCATCCCCACACCCACCCCACCCATCCCCACTCCATCCACCCCACCCATCCCCACTCCCATCCACTCCCCACCTGTCCCTACCCCCACCCTCACCCATCCCTGCTCATCTACCTCACCTGTCCCTACTCCCCCACCTCACCTGTCCCTACCTCCAATTCTCACCCATCCCCACTCATCTAATTTCCACCTGTCCCCACCATCTACCCCACCTGTCCCCACTCATCTACCTCCCCACCTGTCCCTACTCCATCTACCCCACCCATCCCTACCATCTACCCCACCCATCCCCACTCCATCTACCCCCACCCTGTCCCTACCCCACCCCCACCCATCCCCACCATCCACTCCCCACCCATCCCCACCATCCACCCCCACCTGTCCCCACCTCCACCCTCACCCATCCCCACCATCCACCCCACCCACTCCGCCACTCCATCTACCCCACCCATCCCCACTCATCTACAGCACACCCCACCCATCCCTACTCATCTACTCCCAATCTGTCCCTACCCCCCACCTCTGCACCTAGTCCCCACTCATCTACTCCCCACCCATCGCCACCATCCACCCTCACCTTGTCCCCACCATCTACCCTCACCTGTCCCTACTCATCTACCCCACCTGTCCCCACTCCCCCACCACCTATCCCCACTCATCCACCCCACCTGTCCCCACTCCCCCCACCCCCACCCTGTCCCTGCACTCCCCACCCCCCACCCATCCCCACCATCCACTCCCACCTGTCCCCCACTCCCCCCACCCCACCTGTCCCCACTCATCTACCCCCACCCATCCCCACCATCTACCCCACCCAACCCTGACCTCATCTGTCACCCCTGTCCCCACTCCTCCACCCCCACCCCATCCCCACCATCCAATTCCCCACCTGTCTCCCCACCATCTACCCCACCATCCCCACTCCATCCACCCCACCCATCCCTACCTTACATCTACCCCACCCCATCCCCTACTCCCCCACCTCCTCACCTGTCCCTACCTCACTCCACTCCCCACCCATCCCCACCATCTACCTCACCTGTCCCTACTCATCTACCCCACCCATCCCCACCATCCACTCCCCACCCTGTCCCTACCCATCTACCCCACCCCATCCCTACCCATCCACCCCACCCATCCCTACCCCATCCACCCCACCTGGTCCCCACTCCCTCCACCTCACCTGTCCCCACCCTCCACCCCACCCTGTCCCCCACCTCATCTACCCCACCTATCCCCACTCATCTACCCCACCCATCCCCACTCCATCCACTCCCACCTGTCCCCACTCCATCCACCCCACCCGTCCCCACCATCCACTCCCACCTGTCCCTACTCCCCCACCCCACCTGTCCCCACTCCCCCACCCCACCCATCCCCACTCATCTCACCCCACCCATCCCTACCCCATCCACCCCACCCATCCCTACTCACTCCACCCTGACTCATCCCCACTCCATCTAATCTCACCTGTCCCCACTCATCTACCCCACCCATCCCTACCATCCACCCCCACCTGTCCCTACCACCATCCACCCCACCTGTCCTACCCCCACCCCACCTATCCCCTACTCATCTACCCCACCTGTCCCTACTCATCCACCCCACCTATCCCTACTCATCTACCCCCACCTGTCCCCACCATCTACCCCACCCATCCCCTACCATCTAATTCCCCAATTCCATCCCCTACTCCATCTAATTCCCACCCATCCCCACCATCTACCCCACCCATCCCCACTCCATCTACCCCACCTGTCCCACTCATCTACCCCCACCCATCCCCACTCCATCTACCCCACTCCATCCCCATACTCCATCTACCCCCATCCTGTCCCACTCATCCACCCCCTCACCCATCCCCACCATCTACCCCCACCTGTCCCCACTCATCTACCCCATCCATCCCTACCATCTACACCCCACCCATCCCCACTATATCTACCTCAATTTATCCCTACCATCTACCTCACCCATCCCCACCATCTACTCCCCACCTGTCCCTACCCATCTTACCCCACCCATCCCTACTCCATCCACCTCCCACCTGTCCCCACCATCTGACTCCCCACCTGTCCCCACCATCCACCCCACCTGTCCCCACTCCCCCACCCCTGTTCCCTGTCCCACTCCCTCCACCCCTCACCCATCCCCACCATCTCACTCCCCCACCCATCCCCACTCATCTACCCCCACCCATCCCCACCATCCACCCCACCCATCCCCACCATCTACCCCACCCGTCCCCACCATCCACCCCACCCATCCCCACCATCCACCTCACCTGTCCCACCATCCACCCCCACTCCGTCCCCACTCCCCCACCTCACCTGTCCACCATCTCAATTCCACCCATCCCTACTCATCTACCCCACCTGTCCCCACCATCTCAATTCCCCACCTTAAAGTCCCTACCATCTACCCACCTGTCCTCACTCCATCTACCCCACCTGTCCCCACTCCCCCCACCCCACACCTGTCCCTACCCATCTACCCCACCTGTCCCCACCATCTACCCCCACCTGTCCCCACTCATCCACCCTGACCTGGGTCCCTACCCTCCAATTCCCCACCCATCCCCACCATCCACCCCACCTGTCCCCTACCCTCCACCCCCCACCCATCCCCACTCCACTCCACTCCCCACCCATCCCCACCATCTACCCCACCCATCCCCACCATCCACCCCACCCATCCCCACCATCTACCCCACTCCATCCCCACCATCCACCCCCACCCATCCCCACCATCTTACCCCCACCTGTCCCCACCATCCACTCCCCACCCATCCCCACCATCCACCCCACCTGTCCCCACTCATCTACCCCACCTGTCCCCACCATTCACCCCACCCATCCTCACTCACCCCACCCATCCCCACCATCTACTCCCACCTATCCCCACCATCTACCCCCACCTGTCCCTACTCATCCACTCCCACCCATCCCCACTCCCCACCCCTCACCCGTCCCCACCATCCACTCCCCCACCCATCCCCACCAATCTACCCCCACCTGTCCCTGCTCCATCCACTCCCACCCATCCCCACTCCATCCACCCTCCCCACCTGTCCCCACCATCTACCCCACCCATCCCTACCCATCCACCCCCACCCATCCCCACCCCATCCACCCCCACACCCGTCCCCACCCCACCCCCACCCATCCCCACCCTCCACCCTCAATCTGTCCCCCACCATCCACCCCACCCATCCCCATTCATCCACTCCACTCCATCCCCACCATCTACCCTTCAATCTGTCCCACTCCATCTACTCCCCACCCATCCTCACTCATCTACCTCACCTGTCCCTACTCCCCCACCCCACCTGTCCCCACTCCCCACCCCACCCATCCCCACCACTCCACCCCACCCATCCCCACTCCATCCACCCACCTGTCCCCACCCCACCCCACCCATCCCCACCATCTACCCCACCCATCCCCACCATCCACCCCCAACGGTCCCCACTCACCCACCCCACCCATCCCTACCCATCCACCCCACCCATCCCCACCATCCAATTCCACCCCGTCCCCACCATCCACCCCACTCCATCCCCACCTCATCCACCCCACCTGTCCCCACCATCTAATTCCCACCCATCCCCACCATCCACCCCCACCCATCCCCCACCATCCACCTCACCTGTCCCCACCATCTGCACTCTCAACTCCAATCCCTACTCATCTACCTCACCTGTCCCTACTCATCTACCTCACCTGTCCCTACTCCTCTACCTCACCTATCCCTACTCATCTACCTCACCTATCCCTACTCATCTACCTCACCTGTCCCTACTCCTCTACCTCATCTATCCCTACTCATCTACCTCACCTGACCTCACCTGCTCCTTCCCAACAGGTCCTTTCACTGGGCTAGATGCCGAGGCCATCAGTGAGGAGGTGGAAGCCATGTGGAAGACGATGTACAAACTCACCAAGACCTTTATGGACCAGGTAAGAGCAGGGAGGATAAGACGTCAGAGATTGAGAGAAGAGGAGACCAATGTGCAATGGTAGAGAATGGAAGAGAAAAAGGCATAATGTTGCAGTAATAAAATATAACGTAGATGAACATTCCCCATGCACCAATAATATCCAATCAGGTCAGGTAAACACAAATTGGGTTAATTAAGAGCAGCTACAAACTAGGATGAACAATAACATTGGTTATAAGCTGCATCACTGTGAGGCTGGTGGTCACTGTGGACACATCCTGCCTCGATCATATTTTTACCAATACGACCATAAGTGACAGTTGGTGTACTGACATCCAGGCCTAAAACAAGAGATTGGGATCACTTGAAAGTTAGACACCCACCTAATTTCATTTGATGATAAACACCCTGACGCTGCCTGGAGAAGGTCGGTTAAGTCAGGTAAAGTTGAGCTAGGTGAGTTTAGATTGTTAGGTCAGGTTAGGTAAGGCTATGTTAGCGTCAGGGTGTATAATTAAAGCTGGAGTGCCGAATTTTCAAGTGATCCTTCTCTCCATATTTCAAGGTTTGGTTTTACACCCCTTCGTGAAGACCTGAAGTCACAAAGAACCAATGTACACAATAAATGAGGTGCTTTTCCATGTGGCCTTAATAATCAAATACCTTAATCAACTAGAGTACCGTCTTCATATATGAGGGTTGGCGACCACGGCCCTCGACTCTAAACGTTCTCGTGATCTGTTTACCATCTTAGTACTTGTTCGTGTTTTTTTGCTGTCAGTGTAGCTTATTCTTAGCATTCGCCTATAACACCACATTTCAATGGCCTTAAACCTCCTCCTGGTGTCTACTGGAAGTGTCCCCGCTTCTGACCCACACATCAAGTCCTTGCCTAACAGCAGCTTAGAGTGGACTTAGTGAGAATTTTTCACTAAAACGTTCTCTCAGTTACTGTATTTAATCATGCAATTAATCAATCAAGATTACCTTTCTCAGAAGTACCAAAGCAACTTAAGAATGGAGGAGTCTTTAACAAATTAAAGCATGAGGCGGTACTGAAGAGCCTGGGACTTGCGAGGAGAGAGAGAGAGAGAGAGAGAGAGAGAGAGAGAGAGAGAGAGAGAGAGAGAGAGAGAGAGAGAGAGAGAATATGGATATGGACGAAGTATAAAGGAATCAAAGAGCAGAATAAAGGCGAAAGAAGCAATTATATACAAAAAACGAAAGTGGAGGAAACAATCGTGAAAAATAATTCGGTAGTAACCCAAGTTATCACTAACAAATAGTATAAATAAAGGATATTGAAAGAGACAAGCAGACTATATTATAAGTTACCATTTGAAGGAAGTGAAACAAATTTAGTAATTAAAATATAAATTATAGCAAGACGAATTAGAAAGATCCATTCTCTAATCCCACTTGGCCAGCTCGAGGAATGAAGAGGTTAATCCAGAATCGTGCGGCTGTACTGATACCTTAAGATGGCAGAGCAACACTGAACACTGCTTTCCCCTGCCTCACCTCATTCACTATCACCTGCCACTCAATCACCCGTGTCTGCCACTCACCATCCTTGTCTCTGCCTCTCACCATCATTGTCTCTGCCACTCACCAGCACTTGTCTGCCACTTGCCATCACCCGTGTCTGCCACTCACCATCATTGTCTCAGCCACTCACCATCATCTGCCTCTGCCATTCATTACCTGTCTGCCACTCACCATCATCTGCTTCTGTCACTCATCACCTGCCACTCACTATCACCTGCCTCTGCCACTCCATCATCTGCCTCCGCTCACTGTGTTGTCTTGGTCAGTGTGTCAGTTATCTGTCATATTCAGTCACCAACACAGCTACTCCACACACATTCTTCTTGTTAGTCACACCCATTCTCTTTCACAGAAGCCACCACACGAGACGATAATAATAATAATAAAATAAACGATAACAGCTCCAACTTAAGTTTAATGACTATTTATCATTACATATACTGTACTTAAATTTATCAGTCGACAGCAATTATAAATATTGGTAGATTTTTATGAAAATAATATTACAAAATGTTCAAGTTCACCGAAGTTTAACAAGTGTCAGGCAAGTTTTATTGTCTGGTGTTAACACTAATACTAACGTTATAGTTCACAAATGTATGTCAAATCTGAGTCGCAACTCTCGAGGAGTTTTCAGCAGCTTAAAATATTTATATAATTTTTTTTAATTAATCACAATTATAACCTTCACAAGCTGTTATTTCTTTCGTTGCTTTAAGTCATTGAGTGTGTGTGTGGGGGGGGGTGGGGGGGGTGAGGTTAGAGGTCAAAAGGCATGGTGGGTCCAGTCATATACAGTATGTTTCTTTTAGCAAAAATTCACTTCTGAGACTAATTCTTCTAATTCCTAATTTGTTTTATTTTGTCACTCATCATTTAAACACTAACTTCTATTTAGGTGGGGTCGCGACGCGTGGCGGAGTACGTTAAGGAGCGCATCGAAAAATTCCGCCTTCATGTGCCGGTTCTGCAGTGCATCTGCAACCCAGGCCTGAGAGACCGACACTGGAATCAGGTGAGCACATCTTCAGTGGTCACGTGCTGGGCACTAGTATTAACACAGGTGTCACAGGTATATGACAAGAATGATGAATGGGTACTATAAATGGGCATAAGACAGGTGTATAACAACAACACTTACTGGGTACGAGACAGGTGTCTAGCTAGGGTTACCCTACGTCCTGATTTGGTCAGAACAGTCCCTAATTTGAGCTTGAGTTGTTATGATGTTATAACTGCATTTCAACAAGCTAGGTCCTTAAGCAAGTAACAAGGTTAGTAATTATATCATTCCATCGATAATTAAAAATTATGAAATAAGCTTGCTAGGACTGTAGTAAGAGCTCATGTCCCGAGCAGTTTGTAATTCTGTCACAGGAGTCAAATAGGATGTGAACTGTAAGAAATTACTGTACTGTATATGGAAAATATGAGAATTTTGCTAATGCAATCTTGTACTTCCTGTATTTATCATTCAATTATTTATTTTTATATTTTCGTATTTCACAACCATGCATCATCTCTGAAAAGACATTGCTCTTACTTTTACTTTCTTCACCACTGATCGGCTCGTTAGCTGCTTGGGTCTTATAAGAAGGTCTTTCAGATATCTAGACGGTCCGTCCCTCGTAACGATCTTCAAGTGTGAAGTACTTCCCCATCTGCAGTACTGTCACCCCGTCTGGTCCCCGAGATATGCTAGGGACTGTCAGTTGGTTGAAAATGTTCAAAGGAGGGCCACCAGACTGGTGCCTGCCCTATGGCACCTCAGCTACCCTGAGAGATTGGAGCGCCTGAACTTGCCTAGCTTATACTACAGATGGGCAAGGGGTGACCTAGTTGAGGTGTATAAGCATCTCAGGGGGCACTACTCAGTTGAGTGTCCTTACTTGGAGCTGGCGGACGCTCGCCCCACAAGGGGTCACAGCTCAAGATTGAAGAAGCCGCAGGTCCAGAAAACTGTTAGGGCAAACTTTAATAAGTAATTGCGGTTCTGTTTTGTCAATGGTACAGTAAGACCTGAAGGGTCCAGTTTTGTCTGGGTGAATTTAAGTAACATCTTATTCACTCACTGTGTTAATAAATATTGAATTAGTCATCTACGAGTACCATCTCTCTACTCCTTCTAAACATTGGTTACCAGAAAATAATACTTACTCACGTGCCTATACATCTACCACGCTACCCTTTGTAAGTATAATAAGTGTTGTACTAAGAATAACATGGTTCCCCAGACTAACCCATGTATGAGAATATAAGTAAAACAGAGTAAATACTTCAGAAAGGTAAGGACATATAAATTTAGAAAATATAATATACAGTATATGAAAAGAAATGAAAGACTTGGAAAGAATAAGAAGAGACAGAAGACATGTATGTCCGATTTATTCATGTAGGACCATTATTTGACTTCATTGCGGCTATATTTTGCTACATTTGGGTACATTTGGGTAATTAGTTGGACCGTTATATCCTGGGCAAACTGACTACAGAATAAGGATGATATGAAACATACTCACTACCAAAGATAATGAAAGCACAAAGTGGGCAGTGCTTTGAAGTGGATGGAAATTGTGGGGCAAGAACACAAAAAATGAACCAATCAAACCCAAGGAATCCTAACCTAACCTGCCCTAACCTAACATGACAAAATCTTACCCTACTTAACTGATGGTGGAGGCTGATCATGTGTGCACCGCGTGAAGAAGTAAACAATAAACACTTAAGTGAACTGGAGAACCACCAAAGTTTTATGAATTTTACTAACTTTATAATTAAATTTAATACCCAAAACTAAGCATTTACCCCGGGAGGTTTTGCACACGGAAGGTTTGTCATACGACACCGGACCACTCTCGTAATGTACAATATTATCGGTTAAATTCAGTAGTAATTTACATTTTTATAAATTTTGCCCTTATTTAAAAAAAAATCTGTTGATTGCATTTGTTTTCAAAGTTAAAATTAAGATTAACAAACACCATGCTTACCGAGTCCAGAAAGAGCCAGAGCTACTGAAGTTGTGGCTCACTCATTGCGAAACAACGTTATGTTGGATTCTGAAACTAACCACGACAGGTAGTGGGCGTCCAAGAAAGGTAATGTTTTGTTTCACGTTGTGAGTTTTGAGAGAGCTACACTGTTGTGGTTGAAACTCCTAATTTCCTCGCAGTAATTCCCATTCACGTAAGCCTGTATATACAAGGCAGCCTAACATGGCATAGCAGTGCATCACCCTTTTACTTGCTCTACTGTCATTAATTAGATTGTGTGTGTTGGGCACATGAGGACTGATAGAGAAGAGAAAAACACTTTTTCCACATTTATAAGGATGACACTAGTTGGCTGTATGTAATAATTATACTGTACAAAGATTCACCTTTTATGGTACATTTTCAAGATTGCTGTCAAACAGTGATGGCTTGTATCATTGAGAAGTTTTAAGATTTTTTTTATTCACAATTATCAAAAATACATCGAACAAAATTACAACTAACAAGCATTTTCTAACATTCCCATTTAGCTTGAATTATTGTCATCATGATGCAAGCACCATCTAGGTTATGCAGTATGCCAGATTACGTTTTGGGCAGTTTTGTACACGAGTATAATGGCTCTTCCATTGTACTGTAGGGATCTTATTAAAAATTTGAGCTGTAAATTTTTTTTTTTTAAATTTGTTACTAACAGAGTTTTTTATGCTGACTCCAATTATGCAACTCATTTTTTTGCGGAAATAAATATTAAAATTTTTATTGGCGCTTGTTTGCAGGAACAATGTCTGTTTTTGACCTAACCAAACAAACAAGCCGGTGCTCATTGCGAACTATTGGATGGGTACCTGTGCGATTTTATGTGGCACCAGCATCACAAAGGGCAAAATTTGTACGAGTTTATGTTAAGTGTGATTGGCCAGCACTTATGATTCATAGACCTATAAGTCACAAATAAAACATTTCCGTAAAACATGAGTTTCACATTTAAAATTGGCACGAAAAACTGTATCTTTAATGCAAGTTTCAAAATTTGGGAACACACTCCCCACTTCAGTAATGAAGAGGTTAATTTATATTTGTTCTATTATAATATCTAATACTACAAGTTAACTTTTGTACTGTATTACAAGTCTTCTCTCCTAAAATAGAATTGATTCTTTCTCAACCACATCTTCATCTTTTCCATGATACAAAGCAAAATAATGGTAACATGCAACAGGTTAAGAAAACACACACACGTCATTAGTTCCTCTGTGGGTGAATTACAGCTGGGTGAACACCTTGGAGCTGAACTGAACCTGACACCGGACACCTCCCTGGCAGACATGATTGACGCTGGGTTGCCCTCAGTCCAACGTAAGCTGGAGGAGATTAGCCATGCAGCCTCTAAGGAGTTCAGCCTAGAAAAGGCCTTGGAGAAGATGAAAGGAGAATGGGCTAATGTTGTTTTTGAATTTAAGCCATGGAGGTAAGCACCTATTTTTAACATTTACTATTTCATAATTCTCAGGTGACTGTTAAATCCAATGTACAGTACATATTCTCTCCTTTTATATTTACTTGCTTTAACAAACTCAATCCTCATCTACACTAACAATGATAATAATTATAATGGTTGAAGACATGGCTGCTAAGATTCAATGTCACGAAGTGTAAGAGGATGCACCTTGGACGTACCAACGGTAAGGAGGCGTATCATATGTCCCAACGGGATGAAGAAACTGCATTAATTGAGACTGAAGGTGAAAAGGACCTAGGTGTGTATATTGACAATGAGCTGAAGTTCCCGTGCCATTGCGAGAAGAAGGTAAATCAGGCAACTAAATTATCAAGTCTTATAAGAAGGTCGTTCAGATATCTAGATGGTCTGTCCCTCTTGGCAATCTTCAAGAGTGAGGTGCTTCCCCATCTGGAGTACTGTCACCCTCTCTGGTCCCCAAGATATGCTAGGGACTGTCAGTGGATTGAAAATGTCCAAAGGAGGGCCACCAGACTGGTGCCTGCACTATGGCACCTCAGCTACCCTGAGAGATTCTTTTTCTTTTATCCTCTTCACCACTGATCGGCTCGTTAGCCGCTTGGGCGCTCGGTCACTTCTCTGTTGGAGCGCCTGAACTTGCCTAGCTTATACTACAGACAGGCAAGGGGAGACCTAATTGAGGTGTATAAGCATCTCAAAGGGCACTACTCAGTCGAGTGCCCTCACCTGGAGCTGGTGGACACTCGCCCCACAAGGGGTCACAGCTCTAGGTTGAAGAAGCCACATCCCCAGAAAACTGTGAGGGGTAACTTTTTCGGAGTGAGAGTTGTGAACTCTTGGAACAATCTACCAGAAAGTGTTGTGACGGCACCGTGTGTGAGTTCTTTCAAGACCAGACTTGACAAGCACTGGAGCAGGTTCAGATATATTCAGGAGCCGGTGCATGCCCAGTATTTGCCAACAGTGCGTAACAGAGACGTGACCGGTCGCCTAAGCGGCTAACGAGCCGATCAGCCGTGAAGAGGATAAAAGTAAAAAGTACAACTGCTAATAATAATTTAATAATAATAATAATAATGATATACATAATAGTTACTGTAACAATAATACTGTAATTTAGGTAAATTTTTGTTTCGGTCAACCTTATGTTATTCCGGCGGTTTTGGACGTGTTTTGAATAATTTTGATCTTGCCTCACCTAAATTCCTAAGACTCCCTGGATTACTGAAACGATAATGCAATACCGTAATTTATACTTGAAGGCACATCAACATCTGTGTCAGTCTCTGTCCGTCCAGTCCTCATACTAAACAGATGAAGTCTTCAAGAATAATGTTGGAATGTGCCCTAAAATCTATTTGATGGCTGAAAAGAGTGACCTTTAATTTTACCAACACACTGAACACTCCACGACAGAGAGTAGCTGTTGTGTCAATGGTATCGGAGTTCTGGGAATAAGGCAAAACAGTTGCTCACTCAGTAACATCCAGAGGCTATAAATGTATCCAGAAAATAATTCTCAATGAAATTTCTGCATTTCTTATCAACCTCCCAAGCAGTATATGAATTCACGCAAATTTTGAATCAAACACTTAAGATATCAATGACCGGCTCATGGCATTAATAGGGATTTGGGGATTCAAGCTCTCTGTTTATGGCTTTTTTGGTCATTAGTGAAATCCATGTAAGAACAGGGAGGTGTTGGATAAATAATAACAGGATTATTGATTGTCTGCATCCTAAGATAAGGAAGACTGAGAGTTATTTTTTGCTGCTTCCCAGAGCTTCGTAGGGGCTTAGTAAATATAGTATCCCGAGAGGAAAGATATTACTGGTGACCTCATAAATGTCATGGAAAAAGGAAGGCCATAATTAAGGACTGTAAAGTCCTTTGTAACAATAAGAAATTTAAGAACTGGTTAAGATATATACAGCTTCTCCCCGACTTACGACGGGGTTCGGGACCCAAATCCAGGTCGTAAGTCGAAATGGTCGTAAGTCGAAAATGCTTAAATAATACAAAGAAAATCTAAAATGGGTGTCTCTTTTTCTTCTCAGCACCACAAAACTCTCACTTTTAAGCTTGCCAGCCATTTTAAAGTGAATTACAAACAAAAATTTTGTCTGTGTACTGATGTTGGGACTCGAAAATACGTAATTTTACAAAATTTTGGTACGACTGAGGCAAGTTGTAAGTGCGGGTGGTCGTAAGTCGGGGAGGAGCTGTACTTCGCAACTGCCTTTGGAAGATAAACTACTGGAGAGACTTTAAAAGATGTCTGTAGGAATGACAATTGAAAGTATATTTGATTTAAGAGGTTCATTTATATGATGTTAGCATATTAGTGGATTACTTCTTAACAGAATAGGGTGTCTGTAGGGGCATCTGCAGGGAGGTGCACTTGCACCCCCTTGGTAAATGAGAAATCTTCTCTATTTCCCAATACGTGTTCACAATATATGTATGATATTACATGTATTTAAGTGAACTGTAGGCCTACCAGAAAACTTTCAGTGAGAAGGTTGTTTGAGGGAAGGGTGGTGATAGCACTGATAAGTGATGCATTACTCGAAAGTAACTTGATTGTACTTTTATATGGATGTATATACAGTACCTCTTTTTGAATGCAATGATATGTCAGGTCTTGTCTTGCTTTCTTGCCCCCACCCCCTGAATAAGATCCTGCTGATGCCCATGGGTGTCCAGATGACAGTGGTGTGTGAGGATGGCCTATGACCAGGACAGGCTAGTCTGGGGTGCTCCAGTGGTGGTAATGCAGCTCACTTGTTGATGATTTGTAGACTATAAAACAGCACTTGCAAGCCTACCATGCATTTTTTAAGTACAAACAACACATATTTACTGCTGTGAAATACCATATGTAACTCATACATCCATTTGTTAAACAGTATTTTTATTTTTACTAACATTACAAATGAAAGTTGCTTACTCCTTCAGTTTGAACTTTATTCAGAGTTCAGTATACTGTACAACATACTGACAGTTTCACAATGGATTTTTACACTAATTGGCCAGTGACATCATGTAGTGGGATGATGAGACATAGAGCTTGTCCTGCAGTCTCTATCTGTGATGCTTTTCCATTTACCAGAGAGACAGGAGTGTCCATTTTAGCAGCAGTGGATGACATCCAGGTGCTACTTGATGAACACACGCAGAAGGTGCAAACGATGCGAGGTTCTCCGTATGTGAAACCCTTCGAAGCCGAGATCCGCACCTGGGAGGAGAAGCTCCTGTCCATGCAGGATATCCTCGATGCCTGGATCAAGGTCAGGGATACCACTCTTGTCACTTCTTTAGTTGGTGTAGTTTACATCATGAAGCAATACAGGATCTTGGAATAATTCTAAATACTGAGTACAGTACTGTACTTTTACAACTTGGTGAAACAAACACACACTCTCTCTTGTATAAATATATATTTGCATCAGTTTTGCAAGATCTTTTCTGAATGACACAAGGTCAGCAAAAATCAAGGACAACACAGACTCCCATCATGCAATGTCATCCTAACTGCTGTTAGACATATATTCTACTGTGGTGTTCATCATCACAACTATGTCCTAACATTTGCATCTAGTTTACCCACCATTTCATACAGTCCATCATCAGCATGTCCAGGGACAGCATTCAACATTTTTCCATTTATCCTACACACACTCAGTCCATCTAACTGTTTTTCTATCAACTCTATCAAATGTTTTTTTTTCTACTTTTATCCTCTTTGCCACTGATTGGCTTGTTTGCCACTTAGGTTCATAAATGATCCAAACACATTTTTCCCTTACTGCAGATACCCTTAACTCGTACTCCTTAACAAAAGAACTTAATCCATACACCTTCCTCTTCAGAGCCCATACAATTCTACCCTTATTACACTCTTTATTTGAGCCACACTTCACTTATTTTTGCCTTTATGAATTGTAAAGGCGATAAGAAATTAAATTCCTTTACAAATTGCAATGTAACCCAATGGAGTTCACTCGCCACTTCAGTTCTTTCTCTTCCACACAATACTTAATGACTGACATATTTTCATTCTTGTCACAATGCTAAATGATAACTGATGGTTCATATTCATCATTTGATGTCTGCCACAGTGCCAAGTGACATGGCTATACCTGGAGCCAATCTTCTCCTCTGAGGACATCATGAAGCAAATGCTGGTGGAGGGGCGTAAGTTTACACGTGTGGATGCCACCTGGAGGGAGCTGATGGGCACAGCTGTAAAGGACTCCCATGCCCTCGTCGCCACTGAGCAACCCAATATGTTGCCCAGGTAAGTGTGCTTCCAACACTTGTACTGTATACAGATAAGAGATTAGACTGAAATAATGATTTTGCTGAGATAAACCTGTAATTAGTTTATAACCACATAAATATAAGAAATTATGGAACAATTCTTTAGTCAAACAGAAATATCAGCAACTTCTTCTTCATCTTAGTAAATGTTTATGCCTGATACACTTTATGGGAATTAGCTTGGCCATTTTACTGCAAATATTTTCTCTTATCTCTTCACTCACAATGTTTAGCCTGTTTTGGAAAGTCTTGTTATTCTTACCTTTGTACCTTACATACAGTATTTCTAAAACCTGTGAATTACACGAAAGTGCTTGGGAACTTCGTGTTTTCTTTTTCCTTGTGGTTATCAGCACCTTAGCTTTCGTCTTTATTCAAGACATCTTCAGAGGCAACTGGATTACATGGACAGAGAGAGGCTTAAATATACAGGGTGACCTTAAAAACATGAGGTCAGGTAATAATGATGTCATCCACTAATCCCCACACCAACACAACACGTAGAGGAGCTTAAGATAAGGGGGGTGACGTGACTAGTCAGGTCAGGTCAAAAATAAGGGACCCACAAAATAACTATCATACATCTAGATCAAAGGTTTTTAAAGCATTTTTAACCTTGGGCCACTGACAAATAAATTTATGAAACATATTATCAGTTTTGAACTGACCATCACTAAGGTTTATTGATTTTAATTCCTTAATCAAACCGAAAAGCTCTGAAAACCGAAAAAAAAATTGTGGAGCAATTTTTATTTATTTTTTTTAATTTTTATTTATTTTTTTTTATGGGTATTAGCCCACCTGGGCGGCACATGTCACTGACCCACATCGGGGCCTGGGGGATGAAAATGCAATAGTAATAATAATAATTATTCATAGTAAATAAAATTCTTGATAAAAAATACACAAAAATAAAATAAGAATGATGATGATAATAATAATAATAATAATAATAATAATAATAATAATAATAATAATAACAACACTAATACTGTAATAATGAAATAATAATAATAATAAAAAATACAAGAATGAAAAAAAAAGATCAAAAGTGAGAAACTTTACCTAGACCTATGAATTATTATTATTATTATTATTATTATTATTATTATTATTATTATTATAGTTTAGCCCCCAGGCCCCAATGTGAGTCAGTGACCTGCTGTGCCCGGGTGGGCTGATCCCTGTAAAAAAAAAAAAAAAACCAACTAACCATTCTGAAATCCGAAAAATTCCAAAAACCGAAATGCATCTGGTCCCAAGGATTTTGGATAAGGGATTGTCAACCTGTATATATATATATATATATATATATATATATATATATATATATATATATATATATATATATATATATATATATATATATATATATATATATATATATATATATATATATATATATATATATATATATATATATATATATATATATATATATATATATATATATATATATATATATATATATATATATATATATATAAATCGCGTAAAATTGAATTAACAGGAGCTGTATGAGATTAATTCCAATAGAGACTGGCCCGACCCCCAAACTCCACTTTTTGACGACACACAACTATGTTGTAGTAAAAATTTTATCTTAACTTTATGATGGTATGCACACACAAGTAATATAGAAGAGGTTAGGTTAGGAAAAGTAAAGGTTAAGTTAGGGAAAATAAAGGTTAGGTTAGGAAAACTAAAAGTTAGGTTAAACACTTACGTTAGTAGAAGAGATGGGTCGGCGTACGGGGATGGAGGCTGGTTCCGAGGCAGAGGGCAGATTACTGGCCCTCAGGTGAATCACCATTACTAGGCGAATCACCATCACTATCAGTCATAGCTGTCAGGGCCTCCCTGACAAATCCCTCAAAGTCACCTTCACCTTCAATGTCACTGTCACTGGCTCTGGCTGGCTGTGGTGGGTTGCGGGCGAAGAACTCGGTAATGCTTTTTTGACGGCTAGTGTTGATGTTGTCTTGGTACACCTTGATGTACGGCTCCATAGCCTGCACCAGCCGGGTATGGAAGACTTCATAGCGGTCATCGTCATGGTCGTTGGAAAGGAAGAGCTGTAATTTTTCTGCACACTCGATGGCACCCTTAATATTACTATGCGTTAATTTGTGTTCTTCTGGGATTGACGCACCACCTTCCTCTTCACTGACGTTATCATCTTCCAACATCTCGTCGGCAGTCATTTCAGGATCTCTGATCACCTCCAGGATGTCTTCGTTGGTGGTCTCGGAGAAGCCTTCAGCTGTAATACTGTGCGCAGCTTCTCTTACAAGGTCCAATGCCACTGTCACAGACTGAACCTCACCAGTCACAGGTTGACTCCGCCTCTCACCTGGTATGCCATGCAACACATGCCTCCATGCGTGACGAATCGTAGCTATAGACAGCTGATCCCATGCCTCCACCAAGAAGTCTACAGCTTGTTTGACGTTAAATTTCTTCCAAAACTGTTTGACGAGAACTTCTTGAGTCACCACCTCTTGTTCCTTGTCCTCGTCGCTTTTACTCTTGCTGTCGGTGTCACCCAGCTTACGCAACTCATCCGTGGTGTTGGTACAGCCGTTCAGGAGCTTGAATTTCTTTGCCGAGTATGCAGCTTTAACATTGCAGATCAACTCCTGGTCCATGGGCTGGATTAATGACGTAGTGTTGGGAGGAAGGAAGACCACTTTTACGTTGGGGTGACGATCCATAAGTAGGGGCGAGTGTCCTGGTGCGTTGTCAAGGAGCAACAAAATCTTGAATGGCACATTTTTTTGCTCGCAGAATTTCTTCACGTCGGGAATGAAACAGTCATCAAACCAGGAGAGTGACAGAGCAGAGAACATCCACGCCTTGCGTGCGGTCAGCCAGTGGACATTAATCTTGCTCATGTCCACGTTCTTGTAGGCGTGCGGCTTGCGGGCTGTGTGAATCACCGATAACTTTGGCTTACAGGTACCGGAGGCATTGGTGGTAAAGAGGACGGTGATGCGCTCCTTCTGCAACTTCCGACCCTGAACCTTGCTGGCAGACTGGACAACAAAGGTCTTGGTAGGCAGCTTTTTCCAAAATAGGCCAGATTCGTCCATGTTGAATACCTGGTCGTCAGTGTACTGCCCTTCCTCCATAACCTCACGTAAGAACGGAGGAAAATCTCTTGCCGCCACACGGTCAGCACTCGCTTCTTCACCACCAATGTTGATGTTGGTGATATTGTTCCTCTTAAACCTATGCAGCCAACCAGAGGAAGCATTGAAGGGTTTGGGCTCTGCAATTCCCATCTTACGTGACACTGCTGTGTACAGTTCACGTGCGTATTCTTGAACGGCTCGCATGTCCACCGCCATGTTGCGTCGCGCCTGACGAATCAAGTAACTCGCCAGCAAATTTTCCACCTTTAGCAGCACCTTGTTCTGGCAGTACTTGATCATTGAAGCACCTGCAGACTTTGTGATTCTCATGTGCTCTTTGATCTTGGCTGCATCCTTCTTAATAGTAAGAATCGTAGATTCATTGACTCCATGCTTGCGTGCGAGATCAGCTTGACATGTTCCTTTCTCCAAATCTAGAATTATCTGGTATTTCACCTCGTAGCTTAGGGAATGTCGTATCTTCTTTGGCTTAGGGCGGCTGGGTCCAGGTAAGGAAAGGTTTCTCTCTGGTGGCGGTGGTGGTCTGGCAGAAGCCATTTCACAGAACAGTGGATGCACGTATACACGGTGTGGCCTGGAGGGATGAAACTGCCGCGGCTAGGTCAAGCGTCGTCTTTCCTTCCTCCCTCCCTCCCTCCCCCGGGTGGACACGTCATATTACTTTAAACCAATTACAGCTAGCAGCGGAGGGAGGTAGGTATGCATGGCCAATCACAGTCCGATACGTCATATGACGTCAGTGATAACGCAACAGAGACATGCACTGCGCAACCTTACCGCGCGGCTTGGCCAGGCGGAGGCCTAGGAGGGAGGAGGCGGGAGCAGGTGGGTGGGGCGAATCTAAAAATAGCGTCGAGCCGGACACTCTGCGCGTATATGGGTAGATGAACCGCGGAAAGTGAAAGTTCGGTTCTGGCAAGGCACCGCGTAAATGAGAAAACGCGGAAAGTGAATCCGCGTAAAGCGGGGTAATACTGTATATATAAACTGATATTAGAATAAGTTGCATAAAAATGTCAGTAGCAGACTGAAGGTTGTCCCCTACAGGCTGCACGAGTGTAACAGACTACTGGAGGAGATACAAAAAGGTCTCAATGACTACCTGGAGAAGAAAAGACTCTTCTTTCCAAGGTCAGGAAGCTAATTCTTAATATCTTTATCATATTTTTTCTTTATGTGTGGCGAATTAAGTCTTCCTTTTCACCTTTAATCTGTTGTTCTTTTGCATACTTTCATAATTCTCTTTACTTTTCTTCTATTCCCCCAATATTCCTTTTTTGTTACCGGTACTTCATTCTTGTAACGTACACTTATATACTCTTCCTTTCTCCTTCATGAACATTGCCATCCTCTCGTCCCATCATTCTTTCTTCCTTTTCCTTCCCATATTTTGTACCCCCACACACAGCAACACTTTTTACAATTTCCTAGCAAGTCTGCTCCCCTGTTTCTTCAAACCCCTCCTCCTGTGCCTCATATATCATATGTTTCCTACTTGGCTCAAACATTTCTTTAAAACATTTAAACTGTTAATGTGAAATAACTCTTATGTGTCATTGTTAAGTTGATACCATCCATAACAATCATGTGCAGTATTTCTTGACCATCAGCATTACCATCCTATCCTTAAGCATAGAACATTCACAAACATTCAGTACTGTAGTATTTCTATGCCACTGCCATTTTTGTAGGGAGGCAAACTGTGTTACTCTCATCAGTCCAGTCTGTATGATGTGTAGATTCTCTTTGATAACCTAGGAAAATTTATGCGGATCAAAATGAAATTTAATACACAGCTTTATACCATTGATATTGAAGCTTAGTTTTATAATCTACACCATTCTTACACCTATCACACATGTAGCCCTCCTTCACTTAAAATTTCCATGAGGGCCTACTTCACCATTGGCAATAGTCTAGTTTATTATCAACTACTGTACCTGTATTTATAAAGAATGATCGTTTATCATGTAGGATTTTTCTCTTTCTTATGTACAGGTATTATATTTTTAATATTAAGTAAAGTCTACTGATGTAAAGAATTTAATGCTGTGAAAAGGTTTTAAAAATGATCAATAACTTTGGATCTACTCTCGACAGATTCTTCTTTCTGTCAAATGATGAATTGTTGGAGATCCTCTCTGAGACGAAAGACCCCCAGCGTGTACAGCCTCACCTCAAGAAGTGCTTCGAGGGCATCAGCCGCCTCCACTTTTCATCGCAGCAGGAGATTGAAGGCATGATATCGGCAGAGGGGGAGCTGGTGCAGTTCAGCAACAGGGTCATCCCCTCCAAGGCCAGGGTCAGTAGTTATTTCATCATCGTCATGCATTTCTGAATATATTATTATATATTATACACTAGGTGGTTGCACGGAGGCGTAATTTTTTTTGAGTTTCTGAAAATCGGCCTATGTAGTATTATTAATGATGAAGCCCTACAGTAAGTAACCGTGACCTTTCTCAGACTTGAAAAGTTTTATTTTATGCAGATAAATTTTAACCTGAAATCTTACGGAATTCAGTATCTAATTCTTTACCAACACCACTAACAGCTTATTTAAAGTAAAGTAATAAGATTATGGGTTAATTTATTAGGTGGAAATGATCCAGAATAGTGAACGTAATGATCTTGACACATTTATTAAATTTAATATTCCTTTTTTTAGAAAACAAAAAATCATCAAATACAAAAACCGTTTTACTATTTTTCATCAATTCGGTGTTGCTGCACAATTATAGAGAATATGTTCTTTTCTTTGTTTTGTTTTTACTACCACCTCCCCTGTCGACCACCTGAGCTCGGATGTAGCTTCCTCCTCCTGGTTGCACATCGTGATCGTTGGCTCTCATTTCACTTGCTGTACACACAATGTTTATACTTGGTGTGGCGAGGGCTGCATAGGACATGCACGGGCTGTCCAGTGAAAGTCTCCTGACTTGAACATTGGTGAGGCTGCAGGTAAGAGGGCTTCACTGCCGCCTCCGGATGTTATCCAAACTTATGAGATCAGGAGCGGGTCTTTGGTACTTCCAGATTGACTCTCAGGAGTCTTCTGACCCCTGAAGGAATCGGCTACCAACTGATTCGTCATGCCCAGATCCTCTCTGGCAAGTCTCTTATATCCAAGATCTTTTTGACTGCAAGCACCTTCTCCTCTCATCCTTACTGCAGAGCAGTACTGTCTGCGAAATTGTCTCGATGAGCATACCAGGAAGACCTCTCTCACAGTCTGCTCCGTAAGTAATCCGAAATTCAACCTTCCTGGCTGATCCTCAGGAGCCTGCTGGAAGAGAAATCATGCTCGACCTGAGAACGCACATGACTCTGACCTTGGTGTTAGAACCAATTTTGGCAAGCAGACACCAATGGCGAATTGGACAAATCTCTGGTGGTTGTGAAGCCGGTTCCTCTTCATTTATGATGAGCGCACTAAAATTCTGCAGAACCTGAGAGCCGCTAGAGCCACCCAGAATGTGAGACTGACCTATCTTGCAAGCAAGTCTATCAGGCATGACTCTAGAAGCTCTTTTGATGGCACTGCAAATCAAGGTAACCATAGTAGCTGGCCAGTACTCAGGTCAGCCGAATCTGATAGTGGCAAAAAGAAGCTCAACGAAAGTGAGGGCCAACTGTGATTTTTTCTGGGAAGTCGGATTATTTCTAACTCAGTGGCAGTATCCAGCATCTTGCCAAGAGGACCGGCGAGACCATCTGTTGTTTGAAAGAGTCTTGCCATCCAGCTCCTGATCAGATGTCTGGAGTGGCAACTGTTGATGTGGAAGCCACAAACAATCCAGACCAGCTTCCTCCCAATCTTCCGCTTATCCACCTCAGGCGACCTCCTACCAATTCCTGTGTTCAGAGCAGTGCTGTCCCTCCAATGGCCCCAGGCGGTCTGCTCCACGGCTTCCTTCTGAGCCCTTGAAGTTCACAACGTTATTCGCCACTATCTCTGTTGAGCCTTGACGTCATCTTTTCTGGAGGAATGCTCACAATATTCTCCCTTGGTTCACTGCAGCAGCAGAGTAGTTCCTTCACCATGGCAGGGAAACACCTGTTTTAGAATTCCTCTAAACTTCCTCATGAACACTTTAGTGTCATCTCCTTCTCCTATCAAAGAACAAACAATTGATTCCATTTTCTCTTATCCCCTTATCAAACTCCTTCTAGGTTACTGTGAATAAGTTCTTCCTGAGCTCTCTTACTTTGTTATGATATATCACCAGGCGAATATCTACCAGGTGGTTATCAAACCACTGCTAATCCAGGCAGCTGTTGTTATCTTCTGCAGTTTTCTCTGAGATCAGTGTGGCAAGTCAAGATGTTGGCCAGAGCTGATGCTCGGACATTCCTTCTATTTTGAATCTTATGCCGTGGGAAGGTTTAGGATCATTATTTTCAGTTAGGGGACAAAGTCACCATTCTCCTGGTCAGCACTTCCTCGATCTTCAGCTAGCGTAGTTATTAAACCTGAATCAGCTTGACTCAATCATCGGCTTTAATTTCACTTCACCTTCTCAAGTTCTTTTCCTGCAACTTTTCCTTTCTGCCTCTGTGGCAGCCTCCTGTCTCTTGGACTGAATATCTTGGCTAGAAACATGAGAGCCCCGATATGGCCTGCCAGTTCTTCTCTGCGTTTTCATTAAATGCCAGTCCTCGATCACAGAACCTCAGTTCACGCTGGGTAAATACAGGAGATGTGGGCCTCAGATTTATAGTCACTTATCGATCCAAATCCCAGGACAGAGAACAATTGGGCACTTGGTAAGTAATTGCACAATAACTGGGTCCAGCAGCTAAGGAAGTTCCTTAATTGCAAGCTTCCCCAAGAGAGACATTCTTTGCCTTTTCCCCAACTGGTCAGCAGTCTCCTCACTAATCTTCTTCATTCGTTGGTGACTGGAGGCTTTAGAACTGTGCCAAGAACAGAGGTACTGTGCCAAGACAGCTTTATCATATCACTGGCAATGCCTTTGTTTCTGTGTAAGTTCTTTGGTTCTTTCGCACTGATTTGGTTTGATTAAAAACACTGATTCCCAAAGCATCTCAATGTTGGCACCTGACCTCCAGAGCCTCTCTCCCAGACCCAAGATACAGTGACTGAGATGTATTGATTTTGGTTCCTCAGTCTGACAATACGCAAATGAAATATTAATATCAACTTATAAATGCATCAGAATATGGAAGTCAGAAAAAAAATATTGTTACTTGGGTTGAAATAAAGAATGAAGTCAGAAAGCAATGCGTTCACTATTTAATTGTAATGCACAATGGTTTTGCACGTTAGATTCTGACAAAATTCCACCAAAACTCACCCAGCAAAAGGTTGCAAAATATTGAAACTGAAATTATTTTCTGTTTATAGCACACCAAAAATTCACTAAAAGTGTGATGGGCCACAGTTTTAGCTGATCTTCCTATGGACACACTCTATTATATATTATTGTTGTCAGTAATATATATATATATATATATATATATATATATATATATATATATATATATATATATATATATATATATATATATATATATATATATTATATATATATATATATATATTAATGATCAACAATTTTATATATATATATATATATATATATATATATATATATATATATATATATATATATATATATATATATATATATATATATATATATATATATATATATATATATTTCTATGTAGACTAATGAAAAACGTGGATTAAGATAAATATACACCTAAACTCTGACTATTTAATTATATTTAATTCTTACGTTCAATGGTACTTATTTAATTGTTTTGACCATACGCCCATAATGACATATTTATCAAGTAATCACGGACCAAAATTTTTTTCAAATGACGATTTTCTTATATACCGAAAACTTCTTCATTCCAACAGAGAGGGAGGGTGTCTTGGGTTTCGTGGCTGCACTTCACTCAGTGGAGCGCTTTTTAGGCTTGGCTATCCCGACTTATACTGATCGCTATTGTGAATCCTTCTTGCTGTTATTATTTTCGTATTTAATTGACTTCATAATGACTGGAAAGCGTAAAAGTGAGAGTGCGTAGGTACCCATGAAAAGCGGAGAGGCAATTACTTTGAGATGAAACTGAAGAGGCCAATACAGTATGAGAATGGGAAAAAACAGTAGCAAACAATCTCACGCGACTCCAGGCTTCACACTGTGACTATATCCACTCATTCCTGAAGGACAAGGAAAACGTATTCGTGAAGTAGTGACAGGAACAACACCTCCATAAGGAACTATAATAACAAAGAAAAGACAAGGTCCCATCCATGATATGGAAAAATTAATATGATATGGAGAAGACCAGATGAAGCGCAGTACCCTTATGTCTAAATCCATACAGGCTATAAAGCCAAGAAGTCTGTTCCAAAACTGAAGGAGCAGGCAGGAGATGAATGCGATCAAACCTTCGTTGTTTGAAGTCAAGGGTGGTTTGATAGATTTAAAAAACGCCACAGTTCACACAGTGTTAAGGGTGTGGAGTGGAGAGGCAGCTAAAAGTCGATAAGAAAGCGCTTTCAAGTTTTTATGAGGAGTTAGATGATGTGATTAGAAGGAATTTGCTTGTCAGGTTGCAACATTCAATGATGAGATTGATTTGCCGTGAACCAGATGCCCAATCGACATACATCCACAAGAGGCAAAAATGCCCGGATTCAAGAAGTATTCATGACAGAATTACACTTGCTAAAGAATGTTGCTGGCTCTGAAGCTAAAGTTCCCTTCATGATCTATCATTCAGAACTTGCGGCTTAAACATGCCCAGTGCTCAACACACTGCCAGTGTTTTATCGCAGTAAATAAGAAAAGCCTGAGGACCTTAGTAATTATTTGAGGATTGGTTCATGATTTGTTTCATTTTCACGAGCTAAGTGAGCTATTGTCTGCAACAGCGATTCTATTTAAGATTTTTAACATTGATTTTGGTAATGTTTTTATTAATTTCCACCACACCTGGACGACATGCACCCCTGATGTTACGTAGTGTATATGCCACCAACATCTACTTATCATCCAACCTGATGGATCAGAAGGTGCTATTTCTGCCTCTTTAAAGCATATTATTTACGCACGACCTTCGCCAGGCTTCGTTGCTGCTACTGAAGGTGAGAAAACGCTAGACAGTCTTGGAAGGAGGCACGCAACATTTTGCTTCATGTATAAAGGTAAATATTGGCAAGGATCGTAGTTACAAAACATTGCATGAATGGATATGGAAGAAAATCCTGAAAAAGAGCAAGGTGAACAGTGCTTCCCAAAGGATTTAATGAAAGTGGAAGAGCTGGATATTAGTAACAAGATAGTGACTTGTGGGTGCAAACAGGCTGGAGTTAGAAAACTGATACTGAAGATGTTGACCAGCGGTTGAGTGTAGAAGAGCTCAACGAGTGATCTTATTGAACTGATGCACAGAAAGGCAGAGGAAGAAGAGACAAATGTAGAAGAAGAGTTTGCACCCCCTCCTAAAAGTTTTTAGTGAAACATATGGCAGAGCATTTCACAAGTACTAATAAGCAATGCAATGTTCTTGATGACATGGATCAAAATTATGAGCTGCTATGCCAAAGCCGACAGAATGACTGCAAGATTCACTTGTTGTTACAGTGAGAAATTTATAATGAAAAGAAAAGAAATCGCAGGCCCAAATTGACACCTATTTCCAAGAAGTCCTCAGCACTGTCTCACGCCCACCAGCGCTGCCTTCTTCCCACTCTCAAGATGATCCAATACCTTCAACCAGCAAGTTACTACAGCACATAAACTTGTTCAGAAGGAAGCGAGTCATTGATGACTCCTAATTCCAGCTCCTGTCTCCCTCTTCTGCTTCTTCCAATTAATATAGTCTTCCATGCATCCTGTAAATAGAAAAATTACGGGGCCCCGTAGTATTCAGGCTGACTACATTTTGAAGGTGTAAGGCCAGTCACACTAAATTCATTTCTCATTATTTATTACTTTTACTGTACTCGCATCCAGTCCTCATTATTTTTTATGTTTAGTGTGTAATTGTATTTCATTGTAGATTTAGTGGGCCTCTGAAAAAAAATTTTAATTTTTTTTTTGAAATTTTTTATTTCTTATTTTATTTTTATCTATATCGGACTTCTACGACCATATCGGACTTACGACCTGGATTTGGGCCCTAACCTCGTCAGAAGTCGCGGGCTCTAGTATATATACAGTGATTGATTTGGGTCCCTAACCCCGTCGTAAGTCGGGGTTTAGGTGTATATATATACAGTGACCCCTCCGTTAACGAACTCAATCCGTTCCAGAAGGTCGTTCGTTAACCGAAACCATTGTTTCAATGGGTTTTTGGGTAATTGGTTCCAGCTCACCGAAAATTTCCTAAGTTCAACAAAAATGGTAGAAAAGTTCACTTACTTTGAGGTGTGTATGTAGAAGGCTCCTGGATGATGGTGGTGATGATGGGATTTTAGAATGGGGGAATTGGAGAAGGAAGAAAGAAGAGCATTGGGGTGGAAGAAGTCACCCCATGGCACCATTTCACCCATAAAATTTTAGTTCTCTTGGTGTATTTCAAGATTATTTTCTTTAAATCAACACTGCACTGCATTATATATTGTCAATATGTAAAATATATTTCAAAATGACCAATAATTTGCTTGGAAACACAGAAAAAAAGCGTTTAGTTGAAGAGAGTCTCAAGCAAGATGTTACCTCCAGTGAAAACAGAGAGAGACTAACTCCTGTTTGCTGTGTTAAGAGGCTGGATGCCGCGCATTAAACTAGTTACAGTGAGTTCTGCTATAACGCGTGTTTTGATAACGCGAATTTGCTCTAACGCGATTTATGAATTCGGAACAATATTTGTATAACGCGATCGCTTGTTTGCTATAACGCGATTTTTGCTTACTATTTCTCCAATTTTGTGGTATTAACTGTGAATATGGTAAAGAAGAATATCTCCAAAAAGCATTCTGATGATAGAATTCCCGGTGATTATCGTAAAAGAAAGGATATAACACTTGAAGAGAAGCTCGATGTTATCAACCTCAAAATCACCCTTCTCCCCCATCAAGTTACATTCATATTTTTTCAAGGTAAAGTGTTAAATTTACTGTATGATTTCATTATTAGATATGAATGTAACATTTATTTAGACTGTGCTATCCTTTGTGTTAGGCTAAATACTAAATTTTTTCGATTTCGAGTAATCTGCACCTAACCCTATTTTCTCCATAAGCCCTGTTATTTCTATTACGCGATTTTCTATAACACGATATTTTACAAGAACACAATTATCGCGTTATAGCAGAACTACCTGTACTTTACCTTCAATTATGTTCAATAATTGTTAAAATGACTAAAAAATTGGATATTAAACTTTTAAAATTATTGAATAGTATAAACTGCTTGATATTTGCTAAAATAGTAAGGAATTTAAGCCCTAGAACCGATTAATGTATTGGCGGACTGATACTAAAGCTGGTTGCCCGGTCAGTGCAAGCGAAAACATGTTGAGGTCGGTTCGTAAGAACTTCGTTAACCGAATTATTTTTCGTTAACCGAATTGAAGATCCTTATGGAAGGCAGTTCGTCAATCGAAATTACGTTAACCGAGGTGTTCATTAAACGAGGGGTCACTGTATATATATATTTGTCTTATCCACGTTTTTTTTGTGGATCTACATGAAATATATATACAGTACATATATATATATATATATATATATATATATATATATATATATATATATATATATATATATATATATATATATATATATATATATATATATATATATATATATATATATATACACACACACATACACACACACACACACAGTGGTCCCTTGGTTAACGAACCGTTCGATTAACGAATTAGCTCCCATAAGGATTTTCAGTTCGATTATCGAACAAAACTTTGATTAACGAAAGCCTTACGACAAACATGTTTTGTTGTGCGCATCAGCAGATCAGCTAATCAGCTAGTCCGCCAATACACTAATCTGTTCTATGTTTACATTCGTTTCCAGTGGAGTAAATATCAAGAAAGTTGTGCTCTTTAATATGTTTGCATTTTTTTTATTAAAATTGTCATTCTAAAATTTAGTTAAGATATTGATAGTATATACACTACAGGGAACAGTTTTTGTGCGCCCATCAGCTGATCGAATCACCCACCAAGTTCACCAACGCTTCTCAGTTTAACTTTGTTTACAGTGGAGTGAACATCGGGTTTGTTCTCTTGAATATTTTTGCATTTTTACATTAAAATTATTGGTCATTCTGAAATTTAGTTAACATATTGATAATATACAATGCAGTAATTGTTATGAAATGGGTGTCTCTTTTTCTTCTCAGCACCTCCAGAACTTCCACTTTTACACTTGCCAGCCATTTTAAAGGGAATTACAAAGTAAAATTTTGTCAGTACACAGCTTGATAACTAACGTCGGGACTCGAAAATACGTAATGTGAAAAATATTTTATACGATCATGGCCGTCGTATGTCCGGGTTGTCGTAAGTCGAATACTGTATACTATACTTAAGTATTATAAACCTGTAAAAGATAGGAAGAAAACTTTAAGACTGATACAAATATTGACAAACACAAATGTTTGTCTTGCATCATTCAGGGTCTGGTGGAGCGATGGCTGGTGGAGGTGGAAGAGATGATGGTACAGAGTGTACAAGATGTAGCAGTGCGTGCTGTGGAGAACCATCCACTCACTCCACACTGCCAATGGATCACTCAGTGGCCATCACAGGTGGTGCTTACGGTGGCACAGATTGTATGGACTACTGATGTCACCTCCATCCTAGCCAAGAGAGGAGGACTCAAAGTAGGTCCCCAAGGCTCTACCATCATAGCATTACTTCATATCTTACTTGACTTGTATTGCTGTTATTATTATCTTCTTCATTAATTTGTTTGTTTTAATTTTTCATTATATGACAGAATTTAATATATGTTTAGCGGTTAGTTAAGGGACTCAAAGATGCAGGACAGATGTCTTATTTTACTCTCTCTCTCTCTCTCTCACACGTGGAGGCTCCAAAAACAGTATTGTGCCACTTTTGAACCTCTGAAATCACCCCTAGATAATTATTTTAGAGAATTATGCTTAACAGGAGAAAATACACTATTAAGAAAGGTCTATCATGTATGCTTATCAATGATTAACTGATCATCACCATTATCTAATATTTAATCATCACACTCACTTATTATACAGTACACAATTGTCAAGGATTTATCATACACCATTATCATTAATCTATATACAGTGCACAGTTGTCAAGGTTTAAATGTTATAAGCTGTTAATAAAAAAAATTTGCACGGCTTCAGGAGTACTTAGAAGTGTGTGACGCTCGCATTCAGGAGGTAGTGGGCATGGTGCGAGGAAAGCTGGAACACGGTACCCGACTTACCCTGGGAGCCCTCATTGTTACCTACGTCCATGGTCTGTCATTTCTCTCGCATACTCCTTTTTATCATAAGATTTTGATAAATGAGTTACTGATTATTCTACTGTACATAAATATGGATTGTGTCACACATAGACACAATTAACTCCGAGGTATGAAGTGTACTTTCATACCTTAGAGTGTGTCTACGAGCTTCAGATCACCTGACCTAATTCAACCTCACATAATCTAACGTAACAACTCCAGACAGTGTTAGGGTATTTAGTCATCATTTGAAAAAAGCTGGGGTGCCAAATCATCAAGTGATCCCAACCTTCCTCAATCCCAGGACGTGATGTGGTGCAAGAGTTGATCCAGAAGGGTGCTGCCTCAGTAACGGACTTTACATGGGTGTCACAGATGCGCTACTACTGGGTGAACGAGCTGGTACAGGTGGACATGATCATGACACGACTCCAGTACGGATATGAGTACCTGGGTAACACCTCCAGGCTAGTCATCACACCTCTCACCGACCGCTGCTTCAGGTATCCACTATCACTGTTCCCAGCCCACCCTCATCCTGACTGTGTCATCTTCCTCGCATGCTTCACATTGTTCGTCAAGCCTCTTATTATTTTCTTGTCATGAGTCATCTTCATCAGTCTTTTTGTTATCTTTCCATCATGCTTCATATTATTCATCACTCCTCCTGTTATCTTTCTATCATGCTTCACATAGTTCAGTCCTCATGTTATCTTCCTCACGTGTTTCACTTTGTCCATCTGACTGCGATATATTATATACTGTATATACTTTTTATATTACTGCTCGATGGTCTTGGAGTAAAACCTTGTCCAAGAAATGAGGCTGAATATTATTTCGCGCCATTACCAACCTTCCTGCTGCACCAGGACACTCATGGGGGCACTAAAGCTGCACCTGGGAGGGGCCCCTGAAGGTCCTGCTGGCACTGGCAAGACAGAAACATGCAAGGACTTGGCTAAGGCTGTGGCCAAGCAGTGTATCATCTTCAACTGCTCTGATGGTCTTGACTATAAGGCCATGGGCAAATTCTTTAAG